ACGTACGTACATGCATGCATGCATGCATGCATACATACATGCATACATATACATACATACATACATACATACATACATACATACATACATACATACATACATACATGCATACACACATACATATACATACATATATACATATACACAGATACATATATACATATACATTTTCATGCATACATCCATACTACATTTCATTTTCAAACTATACATATCTCCCACAGACTCATACATACACCCTAAACCCTCAAACAGCCCCAAGCCTGCAATAAACCCTCGGCTCCTGGAAACCCAGAGCCCCACAGAACCCTTTGGCCCTGCAGCTCTGCCTGTAATGCTCCCAGAGAGCCCAATACTCTTGAATTAAGGGTTATACCTCACATTATAAGGGGCTTCATATTGTGATTTGAGCTACATGCCGTAGTTAAGGCATATTGGGCTCTCTGGGTTCACGCCGATGCTACCGAGGCTCCAAGCGGGTGCTTCGCTTGGAAGTCAGAGCCGGGTACTTAGCCGACTTAGCCGCTGCCACTTTGGCAAGACTGAGGGGCTGAGTCGGTAACCTTTTGTAGACTCCTAATATAGTGGCCTTAGTGAATTAGAGCAGGGTTTGGGGGTATGTGATGCTATAGTTATAATATACCCCACGACCCTATTCTCATTATTAAGGCTCCTGCGTTAGGTTACCTCTTGTATGATCCTACTATGGTTTGAAAGGTTAGCCTTTTTTGGGCTTGGGTACTTAGCCGTTGAGATTGGTCAAAAGGTCTGGCGAGCTTTGAAAGGTCTCTTATAGGATTCCTTTATCATGGTTTAAAAAGGGTTTGTGGCCAGTCGGCACCTTGTGGCTTCTGCTTGCAGAAGCCCGAGACTGTTGGCTGGCAAACCCGAAGGCAAACCGAAGCAGCCCTACTCTGCAAACCCGAAGTAGGGTTTATGAGAGATGGAGGGATTAGGCTTTGGATTCAAGTCGTCGAAACTTTGGGTGGGTGGGGGTCAGCCAACGTTGGTGCGAGGTGGAGGGCACCGAGCACGGCGAGCCCCTGACAGCTCCTTTGACAGGCGTGAATGTCTAGTGACTAGGGAGTCTAGTGGAGTTTGGAGGCTTATAGACTTATACTAAACCCTAAAAAGTTGGACAAGGGATTAGGAACAAATAGTGCTGCGATTCCTTATACATTACTCTTCAGGATTGGGGCTATTGGGTTTGGAACTTTCGGGCTTCTACTATAGGGTTAAGACTGGGTTCTTGTCGAGGAATATTTCCAGGTTGAAGGGGCTCAGGGTCAAAGAGACCCCAAGCCGACTGTAATATAGGAACCTGATTAAGAAACCCTGGGCCTTTGTTAGGGTTCACAAGCCCGGATGCAAAAAGGGTTCTTAATACGAACCCTAATATATTGGGGTTGCAGGGCCAGGGTTTCTTAATCAGGTTCCTACATTACTGTACATGCATGGCGGCTGTACGGGCAGACGATGATAAGGGTTTAGGGCTCAGGGTTTAGGGCATTTAGAGCCTGTTTGGGAGCAAAGGGTGTTCTGCAGCCTTCAGGCCAGAAGCCCTGGGGCTAACAGAACAGGTTTGGGCTTAAGTAAGAGATCGGGTTTTGGGGCTTCAAGGCTCAATGTTTAGGGTTTAAAGAGTTCAGTTTACTGGGAGTTATAGAAGGTGTGTGCCGCATGCCATTCTGCACAGCGTGAGAGCAGCTTACGCATAAAAAGGGGGGGGGGTTCGTCAGTCATGTCGATGGCACTTCCACGGTTCTCTTTTTGTTTGTCTCCTTCTCTCCCCCCTTCTTCAGTGAAGGGCTTTCGGGCGGCCTACATGCCGACAGTAAGTAGGGTATCCATGAGCTACCATCGATCAAGCGATGTGGCTTCCTTCTCGCCGGCCTCCTAACGAACCTTAAGCCGTTGACCCCGAGAGTGTGAGAGAAACTGTCCAACCAGAACTGGGTCCTTGTCAAGGATCTGACGGAGTTTAAGTTACGACAAGGAGGAAACCATATTATTTAGGTTCAAGTTACCTTATAAGGAAGCCAACTCCCCATCCCCCACAACCCGGACAGCCTTTGAAGGGGTCAGTCATGTATCGGAAGCATTTTCTCCAAGATCGGAGGTGCTACATCCCAGAGCATCTATAAGGGTGTAGGGCTTCCGGCTTACGGTAGGTTTCAGTCAGTTTCTCCCAAGAGCCGCCCCTCTGAAGGGCACAGCTGCGTCCTCCACTCGGCCGCAGTGCGCAGGACTCAGACACCGACTGCCTTGAATCGCGTCTTTTCCTGTCAGAGACCCTGACCCCTGTAAAACCAAAGCTCCGAAACGCGTGTCATAAACACCGAGTTAAACTCTAATGATGGTTCAGGGAAGATCAGTCGTAGAAATTTGCTTGGTAGCATGAAACCCACAGCTCTGAAACCCGCAGTAGCCCAAGCATCAACCTACACGACCCCTTAAAGGAATCCGCAAGGAAAGCCCAGACGGGTGCATGGTGTTTAGGGGTTTTGGGCTTCAGGCATTAGTTTTTCTTGTGTTTAGAGCTCTGGAGCTTGGGGTTAAGGTGGTTTACCGGGTTGAGCATGACTGTTCCTGACTCGGTAGGTGAAATAGTATTGGAAGACCTGGATTCTTGTCAAGCATTCAATTTACGTTACCATGTTTGGGATGTAAAGTAAATAACATGATTTCCTTGCTCCTTATTGTGGTAACTTAGCCTACGCTCCCGGATGTGGTTTTCTTCGTCGTAGCGTAGGCAATGGACAAATAAGTCTTGCTGTCGCAATGTCAGGAGGTCCCTCAATGATGGCGCTCTTATTGGCAGCCTCCCTGGCAAACAGCCCTTGTGTGAGGTCGAAGCAGCTCCACGACGGCATGTCACGCCCCCATGATGGGGGTCATCAGATTGCGGGCTGTCAATGCTCTGCGGAGGGTTTGCAGACCCCTACCAGGGCAGGAGTGCGGAATGGAATCGCAGTGGGGCGGCCTTCTGATGCCATGGCTTTTGACAGATCTTTGATTGGCATCTTCTGCGCTTTAAAAGCTATAGTCAGACTCGAAGCCCGAAGCCCCAAACCGGAACCGAAGGGAACCACAAACCTCGCACTTCCGAGGCCCGCGGTTCCGATAGCCTTCTCAGCGCGCGGAGCTCAGATGCAGCCCCATCGCTGCAAGAGCCTGGCTGCTTTCCCAACACTCTTCGCCGCTTCTATCGCGAACGCGAAAAACTCCTGCGTAGTGGTAGTGGGTAGTGGGTCGCGGCTGGCGGGTAGGGGTGGCTTGAGTCGTAGACGTGGTCGTATTACTAGTCGTAGTCGTAGTCGTAGTC